AGGTGGAAGTGGAAGTGCTACAAGAAGGGTTAGTGGGAGCAACAATGATAGGCATAGATAACGATTCATCAATTATATCACAAGTTAAACCTACATTGCAAGTTTCAACATGCTTCTTTTTATTTTGCTCATCAAGCAAAGAAGAATGAGCTTTTTCAAGCTTCTTGTGAGCCTTGCCAAGCTTCTCAAGGGCTTCCTCTTGCCTCTACGAGATGCATTGAGCTCATCAAAGGCTTACTTAAGGGCTTTAATTTCCTTATGAGCTTTTGCATTCTCTTCTCTTAATGTCAAAGTGTTCTCTAGAATCTTCTAGCATGTCAAATAATTCATCTTTAGTAGGTTCATCATTATCACTATCACTATCATTCTCATTTTCATGTTCATTTTCATCATCATGTTCTTCATCACTTTCATCATCACAAGATTGTACCTTAGTGGCCTTAGCGATGAAGCATGATGAAGATTCAAAGAGAGAAGGCTTCTCATTTATAGCAGTGCTTGCAAGTGCTTTCTTCTTGGTGGTCTTGTGATCATCACTATCATCATCATCACTTGAGGAAGCATCACTATCCCAAGTGACCACATATGAACCACCCTTCTTCTTCTTGAAGGTCATCTTGTCCTTCTCTTTCTTTTCCTTCTTGTCATTTTTTTTGTTCTTCTTCTTGTCATCATCATTGTCGCTATTGTATGGACATTGAGCAACAAGATGATCTTTGCTTCCACACTTGAAGCACCTTCTTGACTCTTCTTTGTTCTTGGATGAAGACTTCTTTCTTCTAGCACGGTAGCCCTTCTTCACCATGAACTTGCCAAATCTCTTGACAAAGAGAGCCATCTTTTCATCATCATCATCCCATGAATCATCTTCTTCACTAGATGTTTCTTCCTTAGCTTTTCCCTTGGATGATGTGGCTTTGAATGCCACGCTCTTCTTCTTGTCATACTTCTTCTCATCTTTCTTCTCCCTCTTTTCTTCCTTCTCATCATCATCTCTATAAGCATCATCGGTCATGATATCTCCCAAGATTTGATTTGGTGTCATTGTATCCAAACCGGACCTCACTAGAATAGTGACCAATATACCAAATCTTGAGGGTAAGCATCTCAAGAACTTATTTGAGAATTCCTTGTCCTCTATCTTCTCACCAAGTGCCTTGAGATCATTTACAATCACTTCCATCCGATGGAACATGTCTGGCACACTCTCATCTTCCTTCATCTTGAAACTAGCAAATTTATCCTTGAGAATGTATGCCTTTGCACCCTTGATTGCCTTGGTGCCCTCAAATGATTCTTCCAATTTCTTCCATGCCTCATGAGCTCTCTCAATGTTCTTGATTTGCTCAAATGTTCTCTCATCCAAAGCATCATGGATGGCACTAAGAGCAATGTCATTGTTTTGGAGTAGCAATTCTTCGGCTACGGTGGGAGCCTCTTCATCTTCTATCTTAATTTTTGTTTCTACCACCTTCCAAATCTTCCTATTGATTGACTTGATATATGTTGTCATCTTAGCCTTCCAATAGGGATAATTTGAGCCATCAAATTAGGGTGGCTTCTTGGTGTTGTTGATTTGAGCTATTTTAACACCGAAGGTTGTTAAGCCTCAAATAACGGTGACCTCGGCTCCGATACCAATGGGGTTGAGTGCAAGCCTAGTGTTGGTGTTTCGTACTGCCGACTAGCAAATTTGTTTTCACATGTTTTGTGTGGGATGGCCTAGCACTCAGCGACTCAAGATTTATACTAATTTAGACAAGATCCCTACATATAATCGGGTGTTTTGATCATGTTCCTAAGCCCAAGGGCTTAGGTTTGTACTAGGGATTAGAAATGGGTATAGTGATAAGAGTTGTGAAGGAAGTTCTAAGACTACTTGGAGTCGAAAGAGAAGAGAGTTGGACAGGTTTGCTAGTATACAAGGTATAGTTCAAATGGATGCAAGGTGGACTTGTGCTTAGGCAAAAGTGGTGATCCGGATAATCAAACACCTCAAGCAATACCTTATGAGCATTGTTGAAGGCCTAAAAGAGTGCTAGAAGTTTAAGGCACCTAGAAGAAGCCGCCTGAACGCGAAAACACAAATGAAATTGAAGTTGAGACAAAGAGATGAATGAATTGGTCTTATCTCATGATTTAGGATTTGATCAAATTAATATGATATCAGATCAAAGTTGTAGAGCTCTTAATTAGCTTTCCAAAAAGTCCAAGATCATCAAAATCGGAGTTCGGAGCTAAAAGTTATGCCAAAAATACTAAAGCATGAAGAAGAAGGTCTGCTGTTGGAGCACCTCACGGTGGGACCACCATGATGGGCTGTGGCACTGCTAGGGACTGATTGGTCCGATAGACTGTGGCAAGGAACCCTCGGACGATGTGCTCACACTATAGCGGAGCCTCATGGTTGGACTGTGAGGACCACCGATGGGACCGCCAGGAATGGGCTGATGACATGTGAGATTGCCGGCTAAAGGTGACCGTTGAAGTAGCCATTGGAGCTCCTCATGGTCAGACCGCCAGCACCCACGATTGGACGCTACTTTAGTGCTCTACACATGCATAGTGCTTAGTGAATCACTTGGTGATTAGTGTAGGTGCTTTGCGAAGTGCTTGGGCTAGTTAGACCACTGCTTGATGCGCTTGCTCTAAGTTTAGGCCTAGTGTTAGTGACGCTTGCATACCTCTTGCCCATAAGGCGCTTGCACTCACCGTCATTGTACTCGGAGGGGCTTGTAGTCTTGCGAGACCATACTAACCGCGTTTGTGGTGTGGCCGCCACTGTGTACCGGATGGGATGAGGCCCACGGTGGTTTGGCCTGAAGCTCGATTGTGAAGACGGTGAGGAGCGATCTGGGAGAGGCCATCTCAGAGACCCACTTACGTGTAGGGAAGGCCCAGGGGCTATTCGCAGAGTTACCCGACCGGGATTTTGGTCCTTGCGAGGACATCATTGCGATGGGCTCCAACAAGGACTAGGGGGAAGCGTGAGCTTCTCGATACCTCGGTAAAAATACCGAAATCATCGACGAGAGTTTGCATCTCTATCTCAATTAAGCTTTTGCACTTTATTTATTGCTTCTAGGTGTGTGCTTACTTTCCTAGTTTAGCTCTAGGCTAGTGACCGAATTGGAACATAGGTTGCATAACTCTTTGGCGGTAGAAATAACAGCACACCTAGCAAAATGTTAGTTGCATATCTAAATAGATTATTTACTGCATAGATTTTGTCTAGGAGAAAACTTGAGGCAATAGTAAGAAGTAGATTTAAGTTGCCTAATTCATCCCACTATTTTCTTAGACATCACGGTCCCTTCAGTTAGAATGGGATTAGTTGACATCGTGTTAAAGATTGGTCTATCTGTTGATGATTATGACCGGGATTGCCTCTCTCGATTTCTACATGACAAATAATATAATAAATCTTACTTCTAATAAAAAACTACAACAATTTAGTGGTAAGAATATATTTATTTATTAGGTAAGACCCATAATATTGTATTTATTAATTATTATTTACTAGATAAATGCCCATGCGTTGCCGATGTCCATTTTTTTAGTGAACCTTAATATTTGGACGTGAACGTGTGAGCTATGAGGATTTTGTACCGGATGCGGGGACGTAGATTTTGTCTTTGTATTGGAATCGGGTAAGACGCGAACAACTTCGTATCAGACGCAAACATATAGATTTGGTCTTTGTATCAGTACCGGGTAGAACACGAACACGTGTCGAGTGAAGGATGAATAGTGATCTTTACATGATCACTTGAAATCGATTAATTCCATTTTATAGTTTGACACCTGTGTTCACCACATCTATCTAAGTTGAATTTGAGTGAATTGTTATTTGCATATGTTTACTTTAGTTAATAAACTTCTTATATCTTATTAAAACTGTTTTATTTGATTTTTTAGGAGATTGATTTATTTTTGCACGGAGAGAGTTTATTGATATGTTTTGTCAGTGCGAGCAAAGATTACCTGTGTACGAATATCTGCGTCCTCTGTTTGAATATGTGCCTGATTTGTTTCATCGGCCTGTAATCAGTTCTTTATACGATTTTGAACGTGGAAGAGTTTGTTTAGGAAATTGTTTTCTTTTTTTTTTTGCCGTATATGATTTTCGATGTGTAAGAATTTGTTTTTGAAATGTTTTTTTTTGCCGTATATGCTTCTTTTTCGGAAACTTTTTTTTGCCATAACGTTTTTTGGCCGTATTTGTGTTTTTATTTCGGATCGAATTTGGGGCGGTGTTTTTTTGCCGTATATTTTTTTTCGGATCGGATTTTTTTGGCGTTGTTTTTTTGCCATAATAAGAGCATCTCCAAGAGTACCCAATATTTTTATCCCTAAAACATGGAGTTTTGCAACTCCCAAAAAAATATTAGAAAGAATAATAAATGCCATCTCCAAGAGTTTCTAATATTATTATTATTTATTATTATGTATCTTTATAAAAAGCAAACGGAGATACTTCATCAAAGAAAAAAAATAAAAAACTAACGAAGATACTTCAGTAATAAAGAAAAATAAATAAAAAACTAACGGAGATACGAGTACTTCAGTAAAGAAAAAAAAAATCACGGTCAGGGGTGGCACTGGATGATGGAACGGGCCGGGCGGCAGTGCGGCACCTTCCTCGACGTCTCCCTAACACCACGAGCGGGAGAGAGCGAGACGGAAACGATCGAGGAGGAAAACAGAGACGGAAACGGAAAAAAAAGGACGCGGAGAACGAGTACACTAGTGGTTTATGTGGATGAAAATTTATATTACGTCTATACTCCTAGATTATGTCGTTTGCATGTGTACGTATATGTGTACACCATGTGTCCGACCAGGTCAAGGACTCGACCTCCTACAACTAATCGGTTACGAACTGAGGTCCTACCAAACTTCTAAATACCCATCCGCCATGAACCTAGAGCAGGGCCCGTCGATTCCCAGCGTAGTTGAGCCCGTCCAATACGAAACAACAGATCATCAGGTCCGCAGCCATGTTCCCGTACGGCGCTCCGCGTCCGCGGCCGTTGCGCAATAACAGCGGCGCACCGCCCATGATTCTGTACTCGCCGCCGCCACCGTATGGTGGCATCGGATACGGCCCTTTCGGGGAGCCTATACTCCTTCCGCCGCCGTACGCCGCTGCCCTGCCGTACCCGCCGTACTACGGCGGACCCGCCGGCTTCGGCAACACCACGCCAATGCACGCCGTCCACGCTGTGCAGGTGCAGCTGCAGTCGGTGACGGCGGCCAACTTCGCCGCGGAGCTAGACATAATCGGCTCCTTGCTTCCGAGCTACCCCTACGTCGTCGTCGACACAGAATACCCCGGCACCGTGCACCGCCCACCCGCGGGGCGCCGTGACGGCGACCTCAGCCCCGACGAGCGGTACGCGCTGGTGAAGGCGAACGTGGACGAGCTCCCTATCGTGCAGCTCGGGGTCACGCTCTGCGACGCCCACGGCAACCTACCCTGCGTCCCTGAGTACCGCTACGGCTACTACCACGGCTACGCCGAGCGCGCCTGGGAGGTGGACTTCTCGGACTTCGACGTCGGCCGCGACCGCCACGCGGCGCAGTCCGTGGCGTTCCTCCGGTCGCAGGGAGTCGACTTCGACGCGGCGCGCGCACACGGCGTCAGCTCGGCGGCGTTCGGCGCGAAGCTCGCCGAGATCCTGACGTCGGCGCCGCGCGGGGCCGGCGACGTCGAGCTGACGTGGGTGGCCTTCGGCGGCGCCTACGACCTGGCCTACCTCGTCAAGATGCTCGACGGCGGGCAGCCACTGCCGGAGACGAGGCAGGGGTTCGTGGTGCGGGTCAGGGAACTCCTCGGCGGACGGGTGTTCGACGCCAAGTTCATGGCGGAGAACTGCGGCCGCGCGGACCTGCGCGGCGTCGGCCTCAGAAGCGTCGCCGCCAACCTCGGCGCGGCGATGCCCGTGGAAGACCTGCCGTGGCTCGCCGGCACGAAGAGCATCACCGCCTACCGCATACATACGATCTTGAGATTGCACGTCCTCTCGCAGGACACTGCCGCTGGCTTCGAGGGAATAATCGACGGACTACAGTGATTTTTAGTTTTTAGATTTTTTTCGTGTAGCAGAGATTACATACAAGCAGAAAAGAAAACAAAAAAAAAGGAGAAAAGAGAGAAAAACCAAAAAAAAGAAGAGAAAAGAGAGAAAAAAATGTATTCTTTTATAGACTGGTACTAGAGAAAAGAGAAAAGAGAAAAAACAAAAAAAAAAGTATTATAGCCTGGTACTAGATTTTTTTAAATTTTTTAATCTGGGTATCGACCTTTACTCCTATGTACATATTGGTAATATATAAAAAGTAGGTTTATTTGTTTGTGCGGCTAATATAAGTGTGTTCAACGTGGTTCTCTACATCTCGCGTTTGATGATGATGATGATAGTGCGCTACGTGTAGTATGCGTTTTTACAGTAATGTATACACGTATATATGTATTTCTTTCTTGTGTACAATTGATCTATGATAATATTCAGTAGGAACGTCGAACAATGCATGGATTGTAATGAGTATACTGAGTACAACCAACTTATACTCTACAACATATATGAAACATAAACTCGGTAATGACAATACTAGTTTACATGTTGATTTGTTTACCCCACCGGCTGATAAAAAGAACGGAAATGCTACGGTGCGGGCGTCCGACCATCCTGACATTGTGCTTTCTGGGCTTGTGCACTACCAGCCCAATAGACCGTTTCCCTTTATCTTCTTTCTTTCACAGTTTCTCAAAATAAAAAATGGTGACAATCCCAACTAGCACGGCCGCGGCGTTCCCTACCATTCGCCTGCCACTCGCCTTCTCCAGCGGTGACCACCTCTGCTTCCTCCGCCTCGGGGCCCTCGCTCGCCTCCGCAACACCAGGGTGCGTCGCTGGAGTCGCGCCTACCGCCTGCCCTTGCCCTCATCACCAGAGCCGGCGCCGACGTCCTCCTCGTCACCTCCTCCTCCGGCTAGAGACCGCTAGGGCGTCGCGCTCGTGCCTTACTTCACACTCGCATTGAGGCTCCACGCACCTCGGTGCCCCCAGTGGAAGAAGCTTGCGGCAGCCAAGCATGTGGTGTTCGTCGCTCAGCCACCTCCCAGCCTCGATCTGCCCATTGAGGCGGTTATCGAGTTCCTCAACGCTCCTAATATGGTGGCCGCTCCCACTACAGTGTCGCGCCTCACATGTTACAAGCGTATGTTTCTAGTGTTTCAGATGTTCCTGAGGTATGTTGCAGGTGTTTCATATGGATGCTACAAAAGTAGACCAGGATGTTGCATATATTACAAAGTGTTCCAGAGGCTTGTTGCAAGTTTTTCGGAGGCAAGTTGCCAGCGTTTGTTCAAAATGTTTTATCTGTTTCAGACATATGTTGCAAGTATTTTTGATCTGGATGTTGCATATGTTTCGTACATATATTGCAAGAGTATGTTTAAATGTTTCAGCTGTTTCAGTCTTATTTGCAATGTGTTTTGATATTGCAAGTTGCAAGTATTTTATTTGATTGTTGCATATATTTCACACACATATTGCAAGTGTATGTTCCAAATGTTTCATCTGCTTCAGACGTATGTTGCATTCAAGTGTTTCATGTTATAAGTGTTTCATGTTTTAGATGTATGTTCAGAGAGGCATTGGGGCACAGCCCGGGCACCGGGAGAAGGGGTGCAGCTAGCCGGGGGGCAGATGGGGCGCGCGACACGCCTGGGATCCTACGGATGGGGCATGCTCATCCTCATCCCGACTCCTAGGTCCCGCTCGTGCGGAGAGAGAGAAGGGGGTCATGAGGAAGGAATGGTAGGCGCGGGGCGGGGCGGGGCGAGGTATGCGCACGGGGCGGGATGGGGAAGGACTGCAGCGATATGGTGGGAGTGCGGCGCATTTCTGATGGACGATTCAGTACCGTCCAATGGAATCCCATCGAAAGTCCGGGTGCTAGTAGTTCCTAAAAAGAACGCTTTACATGCAACAAAAGATTACATTACATGTTAGGAGTATCATCTACGACGGTCAAGAGTTAGAATCCCTACAATTTACTACCAAATTAACCTGTTATAAAACATATTGTCAGCGGTTGGGACCTTTTCCTCTCCGTTGCTCATGATCAACACTGTAGATGAAATTAGAGAACAAATAGACACAAGATAGGGAGACTATTCTTTATTTTCCTAAATATTGGTGATTACAATATAGAGCTCCCACGTATATATAGTCCTACCAAGGCCTACATATAAACGGACTAGGATTAGGATTCCTCCTTTCCTTCTAGGATAGAGTCGTATGTTTTACAACACTCCCCCTTGAACGATTATCATGATATGCACATGCCTCATTAAAAACTCCATCCGAAAACTCAGTGGGAAAAAACTATTATTGGAGAAAAGAGTACATCACATTCGTTAATTGCATTGCACTTGTTGTCTCATTAAAAACCTTGTGTGAGAAACCTTCAAGTAAAAACTCATATAGGAAAAAAGAGTACAACATTTAACATTCTTGATCATGTATACCTTAGGATATTCTATTCATCATGAATAGATTTTTATCTTCATGATAAATGCATAAACTTCAATGTTTTAGCAAAATGATCTACTTGATGTTTGTAATTTTAGTGGTTTTAATTACCTTCAAGGTAGATTCAATTAAATTGCTCCCCCTCGTAAAGCCATCCTTTGAACATCATTGTTTAAACCACATTTTTCATAAATGTGTGCTTAATAATGGTAAATAGTACCACAATACTATATCTTTCAAAATATTGGCTCACAATTCTTCTATGAATTATAATATGAGTAAACAAGAGCAATATGCTTCATGCATAAATAACCACTTATTAGTTGTGCAAAAACAAATAAAATTTATCCTTTAGGATAATAAATCCTTTCAGAGGATTATGGGGGTAAATAGTTTAGAATATTCAATATCTTCTAGATAGTGCATTAAACTTATACTAGAGTTTAAATACTTACACTTATTCCTTAGTGGATTTTCAAATTATATGTTCTACAAATCTTTAGGATTCTGATTGCAGCACTAAATAATAAATCCAGTCTTGCATTTGGCATTTAGGGGATAATTCAATTGCCAAAATCACCATTATTCTTATACCTTCTATGGTATTTAGAGGATATCATCACTTTAATGCTAGCTTTTCAATATGCACTTTCTAAGTGTTTATATGACACCTTCATGGTGTTTTGGATTCCTCATTTTCTTTCACTGGGGTCTATATTCACTTCAGGGATTAATGGTGTTTATTCAAGAGTCAACTGGTAAATCCTTCATGGATTAATTCCTTCAAGGATGTTCTTATTTTGGGTGAATTATATTTCTCTTCTATGAGATATATTCTCTACTGCATGAGAGATTATTATGAAATATATACAATGATAGTGTTATTCACTACAAAGTCATTCAATGACTCTATTCCTTCTAGGACATGCTCTTCTTGAGACTTCGATATTCATTCAAGAATATATTCTACCTTACACTTCTTAATACTTAGTATGAGATTTAATTTCTATATGTTGAGATTTCTATTCTTCAGGAACTATATGGATTTCTAGAATCCACTAACTAACTACATATTTCATTTGCCAGAGATATAGCAGAACATTTATTTCTTCTTAAGTAGGAGATACTACCTCAATTGCCTTCTTCATAGACCGAATATAATCGCTACAGGTGACTTTACCATGGACTTTATTTTCTGGATCCGGGTTCTCATAAGAGAAACATTTGCAATTATAGAGGTAGCGTTATTGACAACTATTATTTTCTCCCAATATTCGCATAATATGAGATAATTTCGTCTCTTTGTTATTTCCTACACAAGAGATAATTTATTGTTCTGCGTACCTAACACTATGATGCGTGCGCTTAGTGTGTTGGATTTCATCTTCATGATAATCATCTACATGAGGTGCTTGACCTTCTTCATGAGGTGTTCTCTTCATGAGAATGGAGGAGTTTCTTCTTATTTTATTTCTTTTCAACAAGTATACATTAAACTAAAACCCATAGGCGTCTTTGTAGATTTTAGCTTGATAGTATACAATATTTTAGTTTACTACTACTAAACACAGCTTCTAGTTTATAACTACAAGTTACTCCTCTCATTTTAAAAAATATCTGGCACATGCTCCGCTTCATGCTTCACAAGAGCATTAGTCAAACTATTGTTTGATTTAGTGCGTGATAGTATTTCTGCTTCAAGCTTCAAGGAATATTTTCTCTTAAGATCATTTTCTTTCTATGGAAATAATATTTGGCATTCAACATAGGCTTTCTCTCCCCAAATGCCAATATTAGATCTTTAATAGCATACTTTAAAAGATATCCCCTATGATGGGCTCAAAATAATTCAAATTCATCTATCTCCAACTATAAGTGGAGGCCCATTCATGTATGCTATGATGAAATTTGATGTGAAATATTCACGCACATATATTTAAATACGGGGGGTTATTATTCATTAAATGCAGTAAGCTAGAATACATAAAGTGCACTTAAGAATGTTCAGCATTCCTACAAACTCAAGGATGTTCTCCCCCTGATTTGCACAAATCATAGTTTAAAACTATTTCATTGTCTAGCTTCTTTATTGTTTAGCCCAAAATTTTGATCCAAGTACTCATATATAAAAAAATAGACCATATACTTCAAATATATAAAATACGCAACATTCAAACTCACATGAAATTCCTTCTAGAATTTTCTAATTGCCATTAATGTAAAATTTTCCAAATGCCTTTTCTTTATAAATCCCAGATCATCATAAGTGTTTTATCTATCAACTCAATTTCCACTATAATCCATCCCATTCAATTAGGTCACTTCTCCATTTAGCCAATTCCAATTTCAATTTAAGCAACTCCCTCTGATCTTAAGCTACTTGGCCCTAGACCAATTTATTGCTTATCATGCGATCCATTGAAAGCAAGATATTTCTTAGTTCCATGGGAACTATAGACATAGCGTAATAGCTAGCCAATCTAATTATGGGGTAAATGCAAGATAGCTACTAGCTACAAATATAGTTTCTATGC